TCCGATCTCCTCCCCCATCCCCATTTCCACCTCCACGCATTGCTTCTCTGGCAGGACTGGAAATACCTGTCTGCATTGGCGAGCTCCCAAATCTTGCCCTGGCGCCTCCCACCGTGTGCAGGGGAAGGCTGTGCTCTGAGCGTGGGGTTGCCAAGTCAGCTCCCGAGGCGGATCTAGCACCAACGACCCAGAGAGACAGGCCAAGAGGGGAGAAAAGACAGATACCCTGACACGGGAGATTGAAAGGGGCGAATGAAATAAAAGATCACTCACTGGACCCCTGCAGGGTGCCAGACCGGGACTAGATGCTTTATAACTCCTGTGTAACCTGCACAGAAACCCTGAGAAGTAAGTAGAGCTCCCTTTGACTAACGAGAAAACTGAGGCTCAGGGAGATGAAGTAACTTGGCCCCAAGCTTTCCCCTTTAGGAAACGGCAGAGCTGGATTCAGACCCAACCCACACTTCATCTAACCCATCTGCCTTTGAGACTTCACCCTCAGACACAAAGATATCTTGCATATCTTACCCCTTAGAGATTCGATTCTATCTGCTCGGCTTGGTGATGTTGTAGGGATACAGGGTCGGCTTAAGCAACCATTGGCTGTCCAGGTCCTTCCTTTTCCGTTGGTTCCCTTGGAAGCTTTCCTTGAAAGCAACATGCCGATCTCATTCCAATCTGAAGTACTAAGATTCACACTGAGTGCACCAGGCATCAGACTCATAGAATCACTGCTGCAACATCATGAGAGACCCTCCGGGATCGACCTAGGCACTGTTTGGCCCCAGAATCCCTGGCACATCGTTTCTCCAGGTAGTCATCCAAGCACCTATCTGATCACGTCCTAGCCAGGAAGTTCAGCACTACTGTGATACCCATTCCAACCTTAGTAAGCTCTGCCTGCTGGACAGTTCTTCCAGGTGTAAAGGTTTTAGTGTTTTGGGGTGACTGAGATGGAACAGAAGAGGCAGGAGCAGTGGGCCAGTCTCTTCCACCATCCCTCCAGCAAATGCTCCCAAAGTGGCAACTTCTCAACATGGCTTTTCAATGTAATACACCGATCTACTGGTAAGATTATAATGGAAGCATGTTAATGAATGCAGCATGGAAGCATGGCTAGAAAAGATGGTCAAAGATCAAAGTGTTTTTAAATCTTTGGATCCTCACCAGTCATTGGGAAGGATCTCCCTCCCACCCTGTTAGAATTGGCCACACTTCTGATCTAAACTGCTGTCTCCAGTGGCTTCTTGAGGATAAACTCATTTGGACATTAAAATAAGTTTCTGTTAAATGACATTTAAAAATCCTTTCAATTTTTAAAAGTTTATGATACGGCCTCCTTTTTTTCTGGAAGTTTATTTTGTGAGTTTTATTGTTATTGCCATTTTTTGTCTCATTCACAGGTATATTGGAGCTTTTTGGTAAGAAAAGGAACCTAGCCCTATAACTTGTTCCCTCACTGTTCTCGGAGTGAAAGCTGATTAAAAAAATAGTCCCTGAGGTTCAAAACAAAAGATTTTCCTCTAGGTTGTCCTTGATTCATAGTCATTACTCTCTGGGAAAGCTTATTCAGCCAACGAGGATTCCACCTAATCTAAGTTATCAGCCAGCCCCCATATTTTCAAATTGCTGACAAGGATATCAGAAAATATTATCTCTGTCCCTCTCCCTCTCCTCCTCATCCTCCTCTGGTTCCTTTTCCTCCTCCTCTTCCTTCTCTTCCTCCTCCTCTTCCCCCGCCCCCCTCCTCCTTCTTCGTCTTTCTTCTTCCTCTCTCTCTCTCTTTCTCTCTCAGAGCTGGACTATTCTCCTCCTCCCTGAACATCAAAACTCCCAACTCTCCAGACTTGGGGCTGAGAGTTATACCACTGGCCTCCCCAGTTGTGAGGCTTTTGGCCTTGCACCACGCCACACTTCCGGCAGCCCAGGGCCTTCAGTTTGCATGTTGTAGGACTTCGCCTCCATAACCATGTAAGCCAATTTCCCTAATAAATCTCATCTCATTTTTCTGTATCTGTATCTATCTATCCTATTGGTTCTGTCTCCCTGATGTATACTTAATATTTCAGCAGGCCTTGTGAAGAGAGGACCCCAGCTGCTCCACAGCCCTGCCTGCACAAAGAGGGTGGTGTGACCTCAGAGATGTCTGCTTGGCACCATTAAGCACATGTGTTCCCAATCAGCAGTTTCTCATTGTCCATAGATAAGCAGAGAATTACTTGATATCAAATGAACCCTGAAAGTTGGAACACGTGAACTTTCAGCACGAACCATATTTGATGTGTTAATGCTGCTTGTACCAACTAAGCACCACATAACTATCCCATATTCTACAATAGATAGTGTAGATTTAATCATCAATAATGTAGATGTTGTTAATCAGGCATATATTAAATTATATCTGAGCTAAAAAAGGAAAGAAAAGGTTGTCAATTCCAGGGACTCTGCTGACCACATGCCTATAAGCAGTAGTCTTCTTACCAGATCAGTAAAGAAGTGTGGTTTCTCATCTACTGTCATTTAACCTTTTGTGTGCCTGTCTTCTGTCCCAGTGAGACACTAAGCCCCACAAGGGTGTGGCTATTGTCCTGTTTGTCCTTGAATTCCCCCTTCAGAAAGGCACTGCTTACCTTTCCAGCCTGGTTTTCTCGGCTACCCCTTTACCGCAGCGTGCATGGCCTTGCAGGCTTAGAACTACTGTGCTCTTTCACATGTCAGTGTCTCAGCACTTAGCTGCCCTCTGGCTAGAATGCCCTTTTCTCCTTTCCCCAGACTCACTGCTGATCACAGGTCAACTTTCTATGATCTGTTCCCTCCAGGACACCCTCCCTGACTCCTCCCACCACACCCTCATCTTCACCCCAGCCCTGGCACACCTTGTTATTTTAACTTTACACACTCCACAAAACATTCCTTGAAGGCGTAGGTGTCTCTTCTGCCTCCCCAGTCCTTGCCAAGTTCCTGCCTTATTGCAGAGGCAGAGGCCTGTGCCTCTCTGAGTTAATATTCAACTTTCTTTCTTTTTTTATTTTATTTGAGACGAAGTCTTGCTCTGTTGCCCAGGCTGGAGTGCAGTGGCGAGATCTCAGCTCCCTGCAACCTCCACCTCCTGGGTTCAAGAGATTCTCCTGCCTTAGCCTCCTGAGTACCTGGGATTACAGATGCGTGCCACTGCACCTGGCTAATTTTTTGTTATTTTTAGTAGAGACAGGGCTTCGCCATGTTGGCCAGGCTGGTCTTGAACTCCTGACCTCAGGTGATCCGCCTGCCTCTGTCTCCCTCAACTTTTTGTAAGGTCTCATCCTTCCTTTTCCAGATGCTCAGTCTGTTTTGAAGCCTCAGCCTTTTTCTGCTCAGGGATTGGCTGTGAGAAGAAGAAACTTTGCTAACTTCCAGGAAAATCCCTGGGCCTGTCATACATTCATTACTTCGTTTATTTTCTGTGAACTCAACCCTTGCAATAACGAGAAATGAGCTGCCCCTTTGTGTACAGATGGACTCAAGGTGGCCCTTCCAGACAGTCCCCAGCCTTGCAGTGTTGCCTCCTGGGACAGGTATAAAAGGAATCGGAGGAACTGGGGGCTGTTGGCCTTTTGGGAAGCAAGACTGCTCAGGGCCTAAGGGAGGCCCAGAGAACCAGCCTCAGGCCAGGGACTGCCTTCCAGAGGGACAAGGGCTCAGGCCCTCAGAAAACAGAGGGGACCAGTTTACCAGCACTAGGAGCTCTTGGGGCCGGTTTCCCAACCTTACTACCTCCTTCCCAAGCCCCAAGGGGCTGCATCCCCTGCACAAATACCTAGGGAGACCCCTACTCTTGGCTTCTGGCCTGCCCCATGCAGCTCTCAAGGCCCTCCTCCTGGGTGGTCCTGTGCCAGCCCATGTGTCCTACTTTCCAGAAGCCAGGTGTCCTTGGTCTCATTGGTTTCCCAGTTGAATGCACTTCACTGACCCCTTCACAGACTTCTTGCTCCCTTTTTGGAAGATACTTTGGAGATCAGCATCCTCTCCCTCAAAAACAAGAGGAAGAAGGGACCCACAGCAATGTCAGGCATGCCTCCTGCCACGTGGCCCTCTCCTCACCCTTCAGATATCTCTTCTGAAGCTTCCTAGGGCGCCCAGCCCACCCTGTCTCTGTGGGAGCTCCAAGCTGTCTGGCTGCCTGCCTCTGTCTTCCAGTGTGCGCTTCTTGCAGAAAGGGGCTGTAGGTCAATGGAAGTTTGCTGAACACAGGGTCACAGGCCAGAGGTGAGTGGCAGATCAAAGCCCAGAGCTCCAAATGTCACCTAGGCTCTTCCACCATACATATCACAGCCTTCACCACTTTCTGCAATTCACCCACTGTGGACACCTGTCCTGGTTTCTAATTCTCTCTCCAGTCCCCTCTCCCTCTGACCCCCTGCCCCATGGAAGCTGCATAAGTAATGTCCACAAGATCTGATTTGGAGGGAATAATGGAGACTTGGGCAGGGGCACTTCAGGCCTGGGAGGAAAATTCAGGCTGATCACTGGGCTAAGGAAGCAGCGAGCACATAAACTTACAAGCCTTTGCCAGAGAGTGGGGGGTGGTCAGTAACCCAGGGCAAGACTCCAAAGAGAGGCCTAAGACATGGAAATCTATAAGCAGGGGACAGACAGGACAGTAATACTAATCACGAGCAGAAGTCAAGCTCCATAATCTTGGCTAATGGTCCAGTGGAGCTGTCATTCTTATGGGGTAGGTGCCAGAGGCCCAGAGCAACTGGCATCAGGGAGATGACGGAGAGGTCGCGGGGCTCAACTCGGACCCAGAGTAGGTCTGAACGAGGCCCTTCCTATCTCCCTGTTTAGGACAGCTTCTACACCAGGCTGGGATGGATGGAGTTGTTAAGCCAATGTATCTGCCAGGATGAGAGTGGGGTAAGGGAGCAGAAGAATCTTAACAGGAATAAGGCCACTTTTATGCAAGATTTGAAATGCCTGAAATTCTCTAATTACAGGTTCAGTTAGATTCAAAGAAATCTCTCACTTTTCTTATTTAATGCATAAATAGCAAGCATGTTGGTGGAGAGTGGGATAGGTGGTGAGTGACAGCATACCAACACCTTCCTGTGAGGGGGCCTTTTAGACCCACTTTCCTCCTCAGAGGTGGGCCTGAAAAAGCACGTGGACTTGGGGGAAGGCAATTGGATTTGGGGGAAAGACAGCAGAGTGGGTTTTGCCAGAGCCACCCAGCGAGGACAGAAGGACCCAACACAGCTCCTGCAGAGTTGTGGTTGCTTAATTTGACTTTATTGCCAGCCAGTCTTCCCTCAGAAGTGTCGCTCTCTGGATATCCACCCCTGAGCACCTCCTTCCCCTGGAAGGAAATGTTGAGGAAGGATTCTCTGGGTGCTGGGAATAAACCAAGCTCAGGACTGGGGTTCCCAAGGAGCAGTCAGGAGGGGCTAGAGCCAGGCTTTTCCTTCCTTCTCAATTTCATTCTGTTTCTCCTGAGTTTCTTCATCCTTGGCATTCTGTATCTTTTCCGGACTTGGATGACCCAGATCCCAATGGCCAGAATTACCAAGAGCAAGAAGATGAGCAATCCCTTGGTTAAGAGGCAGAAGTGTGTTGAGGGCTTCTCAGAAGCATAGTCAGAATCTGGGATGGAAGAAGGGAGGAAAAGAGCCCATCAGAGATAGGGCTAGGGTTAATATTAGGGGGCAGACTCCTATCCAGATTTCATGTAGAGGTCTCAAGTTCACAAACAGTTGATGTCCCTTGCAATGTTTCTGGAAATATATTCTATGCACAGAAGCTCAGAAACTGAGATCTAGGAATCATTCTGAAGCCAAGCAAGAAAAAGGAAAAGATCTTTGGAAGTTGGGAGCACTAGAAAAGGGGAGGACTTCCTCTCCAATCCAGGTGTCAAGCCTCCATGGGAGGGGGTTAGCTTCTGGATTCCTTGGGCTCTCTTGGGAAGAGCTGGGGGAGGGAGATGATGCTATGGTGCTCCAGGCACGGTCTTGCATGAGCTCAGGGGGAGTCTCAGGGGTTCTGGTACCTGCACAGAAGGGCCCAGCAGGGATGGGGTGAGAACTGACGTTGCTGATGGGGTTGCTGGCTCTGCAAGTGTAGAAGAGGGCACTGTCACCCGGCCTCCAGGCTGTGCTGAGGACAGGGCCTTCATGGGATGTATAAGTGCTATCCCCCCAGGAGAGCCAGCTGTAGGTCACGTCCATGCCTGCCTTCTCCACAGAGCACATCAGGGACATATTGCAGGCACCTTCCCCAGAGATCTTAAAGTTCACAGTGATGTGGGGCTTTGACAGCCGTCCTAGATGAAGAAAAACACAAAGGCCCTCTATACAATCAGGGGTTGGGTCTGTTTTCCTAAACTCCTCAAACCCGGGGTACTGATGCTACCCCTTGACAGCCCCTTCGCCTAAACAACAAATAAGCAAAAACAAACAAACCCATCCACTATAAAAGCTGTGGTTCCAAGGTCCCCAAGGCAACTGTCGAGGTAGACAGGGCTGCCTTTGGCATCTTCCGCTTCCCCTTAATATCTTCTCTCTCTTACTTTTGTACTCTATCTTCCTCCCATCCCCATTCCGTCTCCTTGATCCCATCAAATATTATCACCCCTCTCAGGGGCATTTACATTTTAATCAGTGTCTCTGCAAGCTTCAAGGTAGATGCAATGTGACAGGCACTAAGAAGAAATTTGGGTTCAAGTAAAGAGAAGATACTCATTAGTAGCCCTCATCACACAGGAAAATACAAGGCTCAGGAATGCAGGTGGCGTTTATCCCCAGGACGCAATTTCATTGGAAGAGAAAAGCCCTCTACAGGGGCCATACATGAAGCCCCTGATCCCTGACACTGCATCGAACACCTCCATGGGAACAGCCTCCTTGCCCCAGCACACTTCACCAGTTGCTGCAGTTCAGATACAACAGGTGGACTGGGCACACTCAATCCCAGCATCTAGATTGGAGACAGTCTGCCTCCAATTCCAGCCCCTCAAACTATAATCCCAAGTCCTGAGACCCCTACTTCATGGTGTGAGAAGCTCAAAAGAGCTCCAAAAAAGCAGCTTTATGGTTCCCAGCCTAAACTCACGGTAGACACGGAGATCGTACTGCTGCATGATAGAGATCTGGGATGATCTCAGGTTGACTCGAGCCTGGTAAAGCCCCGAGTCCTCCCAGCTCAGATTGCTGATATGCAGGGAATAGCTGGGGTCCAGGAGGCTCACTCGGCCCCGGTACTGTGGGTTGGTCACCATGATGGTAGCTGGATGTCCCTCTTTCCCTGGCATCACAGTTGCAAGGGTTTTGTGGGAGGACCAGATGATGTTCTCAACCTCTTCATCAGGCGGTATTTCCAGGGGGAGGCTGATGGACTCCTGAAGGACCGCAACCACTTCCTCGGGATCCACATCATCTCCAGAGTCTCCTTTGGCTGCAGATACAGGAAGAAAAGAGAAGCAAACAGTCCAGCTGGTGTCTCTGGGCTGCTGAACCTGGCAGAGGAGCTGTAGCATAATCTCAGCTGGGCAGCTTCTATGGCTCTCACACTAAATCCTGTTCTCCAGCTGCTGCTTCTGGCTTTAGAGTTCCCCATGCCTGAGTTGAGCACCTACCAGGAGTTTGCTTCTGTCTGTCCCTTCACCTTCCAAGTTTTACCTTCTCCTTTGCCGTCTTGGGATTGCGCTTCCTTCCATATCCCCAGGTGTCTCTAGGTCCTGGCCTGAAGCCACACATCCTATTCCTTGTAACTCCAGAAGAGCTGACACATTCAAACCCTAAGGAAGGGTCTTGCTGGCCCTGGCCCAGAGAGGCAGGAGAACAGAGGTGGAAGGGGACATTCCTGTGCAGGAGCTGGCAGCCTCACTCACCCTCCTGGAGCCGCAGGAGAAGAAGCAGCCAAGGAAAGGCATACATGTCAGCAGCCCCCAGTTCCAGTGGTGTGACTCAGTCGGTCGGTCCCCAGGACTGCACAGAAGACTGGGTTAGGAGGCTCCTAGAGACAGAGCCTGACTGACAGTCCTGAGGAAAGGGAAATGATTTTCCCCTGACTACAGTCCTCTGACTTCCCCTGTCCTCACTAAGCCCCACCCTGTCTACTGTGACTCTCTTAGTTCTCTCTCAGGTCCTGATTGTCAAGACAGTTTACTCACCGACTCATGATGCAATCCACCAAACTCAGCCTAAATCCCACTTCTTAAATGAAGTCTTTCAAGACTTCCTATCTGCTGAATCCCCAGGTCCCCACACATACTGCATGCCCCAATCTCTTACAATATTCCTTATCCTTTTATTTGACTCCCAGGATAGTCTGCCCTAGCTCTCTCTGGGTAGTTCCTATGATGATGTGGTCTTATAAACATCTGTATCTCTGAATCTCCCCAGACAGACTCCACGTTTCATTTCCTCTGTATGTCCCACTGTTGCTGTGCCAGCCCTCGTATTACACGTGTCTGCACTCAACTGATAGTTTTACAATGGATGAATGATGAAGCCTTTTTATTTAAAGCTAGTTATGTTCCCACCTGAGAGGCTATTCACAGGGGAAAAATTTTGATTTGATCCTCTTTAAGAAAGCAGTTTGGTCAGGTGCAGTGGCTTATACCTGTAATCCCAGCACTTTGGGAGGCTGAGGCAGGCAGATCACCTGAGGTCAGGAGTTTGAGACCAGCCTGGCCAACGTGGTGAAACCCCATCTCTACTAAAAATACACATATTAACTGGGTACAGTGGTGTGTGCCTATAATCCCAGCTACTCAGGAGGCTGAGGGAAGAGAATCACTTGAACCCAGTAGGTGGAGGCTGCAGTGAGCCGAGATTGTGCCGCTGCACTCCAGCCTAGGAGAGAGTGAGACTCCATGTAAAAAAAAGAAAAAAGAAAGAAAAGAAAAGAAAAAAAAGCAGTTTGAACCAGAGAGTTGAACTATGTTGTTCATATTATGAAAAGCCTTTAAATCATTTTGTGAGAATACAATGTTGATCAAACCCATATGAAATCAGATTCAGGAAGAGACTGCAGAGGATCAGCGTTATTAAACAGCTTCCTGACAGTCAAAGCTGTTCTGGATGCAATGAGTTGCCTTAGAGAGTAGTTTCTGTCCCTAGTATTCAAGCTAAGATGGACAATTACTTCCTTGGATGATCTGCAACATCTCTGGCATCAGATGGATTCTAGGACTGGATAATCTTTAAGTTCCTTCTAATAATCAATTCTAGGAGTCTGTGCTGTGATGAGGAAGTAAGAATGGTGCCCCAAGACCAAGGGAACAACAGAGGAAGATGTATTCAGTTTTGGTCTTGTGCCAACATTTTGCAATTTTAGGTTAGCAAATTCAGAAATCCATTAAATGTTCATTTATTGAGTGGCTCCTATGGCCCAAACACTGTCTTAAGTGCTGGGGAATTAACAGTGACCAAGAATTTTAGATCATGACTTCATGGAGCTCACATGCTAACAATTGACATTGGACAAGTAACTACAAGTTTGATGAATCTTACCAAAGGAATAGTTGAAGCAGCCTATAGAAAGGAGATCTGGCAAAGTTGGAATCAGGAGGGTTGGGGAAAAGCTATCGAGGAGAGATATTTAAGATGAGACCTCAATCCTTCAAACATTGATAGAATCTGCTTAGTGAAGAAGATAATGAAGTGAGTGTTAAAGTTCTTAAAATTCAATTTATGAGTATAAAACCTGAGGGATTAGAATTTTTTCTTAAAGGTAAATCAGATTTCAGTCTGGGTATAAAAATTTTTTATGTAATAAATCCGTTTAACAAATAAAATCAGATCCAGCAGTCCCACTATTGAGTATATATCCAAAAGAAATGAAATCAGTATGTTGAGGTATCCACTCCACGCTCATTGTAGCACTATTTACTTTAGCCAACATATGCAATCAACCTAAGTGTCTAACAATAGATGAATGTGTGAAGAAATTGTAGATATATACACAATGAAATGCTATCCACCCTTAAACAAAGAAGGAGCCTGGGCAAGAGGGCTTCTGCCTATAATCCCAGTGCATTGGGAGGCCAAGGCAGGAAGATCCCTTGAGGCCGAGAATTTTAGACCAGCCTAGGAAACATGGAAAGATCAAAAGACCCAATGCCTACAAAAAAAAATTATTAAAAAGCATTTTTAAAAAATTAAAAAACACTATCAGGGCATGGTGATGCATGCCTATAGTCCTTGCTGTTTGTTTGTGAGGCTGAGGTGGGAGATTCTTGAGCCCGGGAGTTCCAGGGTGTAGTGAGCTATGATCATGCCACTGTACTCCAGCAGAGACCGCCTAGAATAGAGATGCATCCACCCCCAGGCAGGGGTAAGAGAGAGGGAACCAGTGGAAACTTATCCAGCAAAACTGCCCTTAACAGAAAACAGTTCAACCTAGCCATCTGCCAGACCCACAGAATGCAAAGGCGCTCAGCTAGATAAGAAGAGTTTTTTTTTTTTTTTTTTTTGAGACGGAGTTTCGCTCTT